GGTCTTTAGTCCATGCTGAGTTGGTTTTTGTATAGGGCATGAGATAAAGGTCTTGTTTCAATCTTTTGCATATCGCTTTCCAGTTCTGCCAGCACCATCTGTTAAAGAGACTGTCTCCTCCCCATGCAGTGTACCTATGTAATTTGTTGAAAATCAGTTGGCTGTATGTGGATGGGTTAATTTCTGGATTCTCAATTCAGTTCCATTGATCAATATATCTGGCATTGTATGAGTACCAGGCTGTTTTGATCACTGTAGCCATGTAGTAAATTTTGAGAGAGGCCTCCAACCTGGTTCTTTTTCTTAAGCAGTGCTTTGCTTATCCTGGGTCTCTTTACTTTCCATATAAAGTTTGTAATTGTCTTTTCCATCTCTTTGAAGAATGTTGTTGTAATCTGGATTGGGATTGCATTATATGTGTAAATTGTTTGGGGCAGTATTGACATTTTCACGATGTCGAGTCTTCCTATCTAGGAACATGGTATGTTCTTCCATTTCTGTAAGTCTCTTTTGGTTTCTTGTAGTAGTGTTTTGTAATTTTCTTTGTATAGGTCCTTTGTTTCTCTGGTTATGTTTATTCCTAAATATTTCAACCTTTGGGTGGCTATTGTAAATGGTATTGCTTGACTAATGTCCTTTTCAGCACTGTCATTGTTACTATAAAGGACTCCAACTGATTTTTGTTTGTTGATCTTACACCCTGCCACTTTGCTGAATCTTCCAATGATGTCTAGTAGCTTTTTTACTGAGTCTTTGGGGTTTTCTACATATAGGATCATATCATTTGAAAATAGAGTTTTATTTCCTCTTTGTCAAGTTGGATGACTTTAATTTCCCAATCTTGCCATATGGCTCTGGCTAAGACTTCCAAAACAACATTGAATAGGAGTGGTGACAAAGGGCATCCTTGTCTGGTTCCTATGCACAGATGGAAGGTTTTCAGTTTCTCTCCATTGAGAGTGATGTAGGCTATTGGTTTTGTATATATGCTCTTGATTATATTGAGGAATTTCCCTTCAATTCCTACTTTGTTGAGAGTTTTTATCAGGAATGGATGTTGGATTTTGTCAAATGCCTTTTCTGCATCATGAATCCCACTTGATCATGATGTAATATTATTTTGATGTGCTGCTGGATTCTGTTGGCTAGGATTTTGTTGAAAATTTTTGCATCTATGTTCATAAGGGATATTGGTCTATAGTTTTCTTTCTTAGTGATGTCTTTCCCTGGTTTAGGTATGAGAGTTATGCTTGCTTCATAAAAAGTATTAGGAAGTTTTCCATCCTCTTCTATATTCTGGAATTATTTAAGTAGAATTGGTGACAGTTCTTCCCTGAATGTTTGGTAGTACTCACCCATGAAGCCATCTGGACTTAGGCTTCTTTTGGTTGGGAGTGTTTTGATGACCTGATCAATTTCTTCTTTTGTTATGGGTCTGCTCAAGTTTTCTATTTCACTCTGTCTAAGTTTAGGTACATCGTGTTTTTCTAAAAATGTATCCATCTCTTCTAATTTTCTAATTTGTTTGAGTACAACTCTTCATAGTATTCTGTTATTATCCTTTTGATTTCATTTGGTTCTGTTATGATATTGCCCATGTTGTTTCTAGTGCAAGTTATTTGTGTCTTCTCCCTCTTTTGTTTGGTTAGTTTTGCCAATGGTTTGTCAATTTTATTAATCCTTTCATTGGGTGCGTAGGTATTTATTATGGTTACGTAGTCTTGCTCAACTGATCCTTTGATCACGAGATAGTGTCCATCTGTATCTCTTATGCTGGTTTTTGTCTTAAAGTTTACTTTGTCAGAGATTAATATTGCCACTCCTGCTTGTTTATTGTTGTAGTTAGCTTGGTATATTTTTTCCATCCTTTAACTTTTAGTCTTTTTTTGTCTTTGTGTGTAAGGTGTGTCTCCTGCAGGCATCATATTAAAGAGTCCTGTTTTCCTATCCGTTCTGCCACTCTCTGTCTCTTCACTAGTGCATTCAATCCATTGACATTCAATGTAGTTATTGATTGTTGTTGTTGTTAAGTGCCTTCGAGTCGGTTCCGACCCATAGCGACCCTGTACAGGGTTTCCGAGGGTGTAAATCCTTACGGGAGTAGAAAGCCTCATCTTTCTCCCGCAGAGCAGCTGGTAGTTTCGAACTGCTGACCTTATGGTTCGCAGCCCGATTCGTAACCACTACGCTACCAGAGCCATCATGTTAATTTTTTAGTAGTGCTGTTCATTATGCCTTCTTGTGCTGAGTTTGTGTTTTTTGTTGGTTTCTTTTTAGTTTTCATGTTTGTTTGTTCTGCTTGGAAGTTCATTTTCATGGTAAGTTGTGAAGTATTAACTTTCTTTGGGGCTACCTTATAGTCTATTAACTTTTTCCTCCATTTAAGACCATCTGTTGTATTCTGTAATCTACCTGACCTCCTCACCGCCTGTATCTCTGTTCCTACATTTTTTTTTCCTTTTTTGACATTGTTATTATTTTGATCTCCGGTTGGCCTCCCAGCTTCTTTGAATTCATTGTTGTAATTTTGTCCTATTCCGGACTCTGCTATTCGTCTGAGTTTTAGGTGGTGTTGCCACGCCTGTCAATCTCTGGTTGTTGTCTGTTCTTGTTGGTTTTCAGTACAAATAACTCCTTTTAGGATGTTTTGAAGTGCTGTTTTGGCTTTGACAAAATCTCGTAACTTCTGTGGATCATGGAATGTTTGACTGCATCATCATATCTGAATGACAGTTTTTCTGGATGGATGATTCTTGGTTGGCAGTTTTTTATTTTAGGATTTTGTATATGTCTCCCCATTGCCATCTTGCCGGCATGGTTTCTGCTGAATAGTCAGAATTTAATCTGATTTGCGTGACTTTGTAAGTAACATTTCTCTTTTCCCTGGCTGTTTTTAGGATTCTCTCCTTGTCTTTGATTTTGGAGAGCTTGATTATGTGTTGGTAATTTTCTTTTGGAGTCTATCCTTCCTAGGGTACGTTCGGCTTCTTGAATGTTTATCTTCTTATCTTTCAAGATGTTAGGGAAATTTTCTTCCAGAATCTTTTCAACTATCTCCTCTGTGGATTTCTCTGATTCTTCCTTTCCAAAATGCCAATAATTCTTAAGTTGTTCCTCTTCATGTTATCCAGCATGAATCTTAGACTCTCTTCAGTTTTTTTTTTTTTTTTTATCCTTTTTTCTGTTTGCTCTTCTATCTTAGCAGTATTGAGAGATTTGTCTTCCAGATCACTGGTTCTGTCGTCCATCTCTTCAATTCTGCTCCTTTCCCCTTTCAATATCCATTGCTGACATTTTATTATTAATCATCTGTACCTCTTTTTGCAGGTTTTGAATTGCTTCCAATGTTGTATCAATCTTGTTTGATTGCTTTTGTAGTACTTTCCTGGCTTCTTTCTTTTCCTCCACCCCTTTTCAGAGCAGTTGAATTGATTTCCATATCTTCCTTCTCAGGAAAATTCAAAACCTGCATTTCCTCTTCTGAAAAGCCTTTGTCTATCTCTAGATCATTTGTCTCAGTTACTCTTTTCTCTTTTGGGACATGTTTTGATATTTTTGTTGTGTTTTGTTGGTCATTTCTAGTAGTTATGTGGGTTTTTAGTGCTTAAATGGATGTTTGCTGCTGTGTTATTAAGGTTACTGGGTGCCTCCTGGTGGATATGACCAAGAGATAGGCTTCCCTTTTCACATATAATGCTTAGCAGCTGTTATTGGCTCTTGTCTCAATGGTGGAATATTATGAGGTATGCTTGTACATTGGCTATATGGCCATGATTGCTGACTCTTCTTAGGTAATGTAGGGAGAAAAAGCTCCCACCTCCAGGAAAAATGTGTGGTCAAAAGACACAAAAGCAGAAGCAATATAAAATCAGAGACAAAAACCACCATTGTGAAACAAAAATAAAACTGTGGCCGACTGGTCAGTTGCCTTGCTTCACAGACAGTGTGTATGCACCATAGAAGCCTCCAGTAGTGGGTAGGGGTGTCCACTCTCTCAGGCCCCTCCTCTAGTCACTACAGTAGAGGTGCACAGATAGATACTGAGAAGTTAATGGGAGAAAGATTGCCTACTATTTTTGTCTCTGAAGATCAGTTAGATATTTGTGTGTGCACAGCACATTTCTTGAAATAGTTGCATCTTTTTATGTTGGGGTTTTACAGATTGTTCATATGGTTTTTCTGACAGGCCAAACCTGCTTTTTTTCTTGCTGGATAGGCAGGAGTAAAGGGTCCCACACAAGTTAACTTTAGGGCTGGGACCCACAGACAGAAGGCAAAAGCAGTAGCCAAAGAATTTGCCCTTGGACTCATGGGGCTCTTTCTTTCTCTGCTGTGGGAAAGCTGTGGTCTCAACCCTAGACTTTTTTGGGGGTGCACACCCACACTCCTGAAGGCACCTGGGCTGGGCAAAGAAGGCACGACAGAGAAAAGGAGGAAAAATTGTGTAGAATCCCCCCACACCTCCTTTTGCAAGTATCATTGCACCACTTTTAGTGCTGGTTCCCTGTGCCAGTCTGGCTCTAGGCCCACCCTCTGACCTCTGCCCAGGTGGGATAGCTGCAGAGGGAGTCCTGTGTCTTGGCTGATTCCTAAATTGCAAAATTTTCCTTTATGCTGTGATTTCCCACTGACTTATGTGGGAAATCAACACCCTAAACATTATGCTAGATCCAGAGCTCTGGTGCTGCTCTGTGACAGCAGCTTCTCTGGGTTTTCAGCCCCCTTCCCCAAGGAGCCTGTCCTACTTGACTCTGTTCTGCTGCCACCCAAACTGGAAGGCTTCCTTTCTTTCCTTTAAGGAGCCCTGATGGTGTTGTAGGAGAAATACTAGACTTCTAACCACAAAGTTAGCAGTTCAAACCCACTAATTACTTCATGGAAGAAAGATGAGGCTTTCTGCTCTTGCAAAGCTTTATAGTCTTAGAAACCATATATAGTGTCACTATGAGTCAGTGTCGATTTGATGGCTGTGGGTTTTGTTTTGGTTTTGTTCTTACCTTTATTTTCTTTAAAGAGGCCTGGTCTAATTAGTGCAAGTATCTTTTCCAATTTCATGCCTTTTATTTTTTCAAAATCAGGGAAGAAGATATCAATGAACTTATTATCATTAATTGAATTCCCAACATCACAAAACTGAGATATTTGTTGTCTTTCCAGATACTCTTGTAAACTGTAAAAATCCAAAATATAATGTAAGATTACTATAAAATGATGTTTAATAAACATTCAAACAAATAAGACTTCAAACGTATTAATAGATAAGTTGGGGGTTCAAAAAACAAAACAAAACAAGAAATAGTGGAATTTCAAATAAAGATCAGTTGGATATATCTATCATGCCTAAGAATATGGTATTTAATTCAGCCATTTGTATTGGATCACTCAATTTAAACACCATTTACCTGATATCATGTATCTTTTTCATTTTCTGAGAGGATAAACAAATACCAAGACAAATGTCTTATTTATAATAAAATACACATCTTTCTCTTTGTAGAAACTACAGGTAGTTTTTATTTTTACTTTTAATTTTGTCTTTGAACCAAAGGCTATTTGTAGTACAATCCATTTTGTATTTCCAAATAGCTAAGATGTTTTTGGTCTTTTATTATCTATTTCAAATTTTATTGGATTGATAAGGAATGATAATCATCATTTTAAAAAAGACTGTTAAAGTTTTCTTAGTGAATAAAACATTCATCCTTTCTTGTAACTGTTGAATGGATATAAAAAAATGTCACTTACAAGTTTTATGAAGATTTGAGGTTGTGGATATAAATATATTTGTATATTATTACATGGTGATGGTGGTGTGCTGTGGAGTCAGTTCTGACTCATGGTGACCCTGTACAGGGTTTCCAAGACTGCAACTCTTTACGGGAGCAGAAAGCCTCATCTTTCTCTTGTGAAACAGCTGGTAGTTTCAAACTGCTGACCTTGAGGTTAGCAGGCCAATTCATAACCACTACGCTACCAGAGCTCTTTATATCATTACTATAGATAATTATATGTAGTTAATGAATAAATATTTTTCATTACTGTATTTTCATGTCTAAGCAATGTACTAAGATCTCCCACAGTAATATTTTTCCCATTTCTCCTTATTTTTTCTTTATATATTATATCAGTTGGACATAATTTTTCGTATTATTATATTTTATATTATTATATATATTTTATATTTTTTTCACTGTGTTTTCTTCATCAAGTTTAACACTTTACACATTCAATTCTAGTACTTTTGTTCTTCCCTGACTATGAGTCCTGGTGCAGTGCTATGGGGTAATGCAAAGGCTGGTTTGAACTGCAAGCTGATTCAAGTGCACCAGCTGCTCCTCAGAAACCGTATACAGGGTTGCTATGAGTCAGAACTGGCTAGATGGCACTTAGCAACAACAACATTTCCTTTTATGGAGTCCTGGTATAATGCTGTAGGATAAGCACCAGATTTGTAACTGCAAGGTTGTTGTTGTTAAGTTGTTAAGTGCCGTTGAGTCGATTCCAACCCATAGCGACCCTGATCAGAGTTTCTGAGGCTATAAATCTTTACGGGATCAGAAACCCTCACCTTTTTTCCACGGAGCAGCTGGTAGTTTCGAATTGCTTACCTTGCGGTTTGCAGTCTGATTCATAACCACTATGCTACCAGAGCTCCTTTGGTTCAAAGCCACCTACAACTCCTTGGAAACCCTATACAGGATCCCTTTGAGTTGTTGCAATTAGCAATAATGGTTTATTTTTCTACCATCTCTTTATTTTTATTTCTCTTTCTGTGTTTCTGGCAAACAGAATATAGATGAGTACAGTTAGGGAAAAAAAAAAATTATTAGTTAAAAAAGTTTACAATTTACCAGAAAGTTGCAAGACTAGGACAATGAACTTCCCATTACACTTTTAATCTAGGTCCATCAACTGTTAATGTTGTTTTTCTTTCTCTCTCTGTCTTTCTCTGCTATGCCACTCTGTGTGTGTGTGTGTGTGTGTGTGTGTGTGTGTGTGTGTGTGTGTACTGGGGTCAAAACCATTTGAAAGTAAGTTAGAAACATCTTAGCCAAAATGCACAAGCACGAGTACTTCAGGAAATTTTACATTGATATAAACTATTATCTTAAATCATTCATAATCAAATGTCATCAATTTTCCAATTCTCTCCTTTATATAGCAACCTTTTCCCCTTTCCTTAATCGAGAACCATGCATTGCATTTAATTGTCTTGTCTCATAGCCTCCTTTACTCTAACAGTTCCTCAGCTGTTTTTGTCCTTCATTATGCTAATAGCTTCGAAGGGTCCAAGCCAAATGCTTTGTAGTGTCTCTCATTCGGGATGCACTCAACAGTTTTCTCAAGATTAGATTAAAATAGTGAACGGTTGATAAGAAGACTTCCTCAGGGATATTGTGTCCTTGATACTACACACTTGTTTCTAAGTGCCATCAAGTCAGTTCCCACTCATAGTGACCAACTGCCGACTCTGTAATCCAGCACTTTATCCTAGGCCTCCTGGTGTGGTGCTCTGCAAAGTCAGTTTGAATTGCAAGGTCAGTGGTTCAAGCTCACCAGCTGCTCCTTGGAAATCTTATACAGGATCACTATGGGTCAGAACCAACTAGACGGCACTTAACAACAACAACAACAAGTTTACCCTACAATTCGACACTAGGATTCCTACAAGACACTTTATTCTTGTTGTTGTTGTTAAGTGCCACTGAGTCTGTTCTGACTCATAGCAACAACAGATAAGAACCGCTGACTTTGCAATTCAAACTGACCTTGTGGTCCAGTGCATTAACCCACAGCACCACACCAGGACTCCACAATATCATACTTGTTGTTGTTATAAGTGCCAACAACACACTAGGTGGTGCACAATGCCCACTTTCCTCAGTTTCAGTGATATTCATGTGCTTAATGTGGCATCTCCCAGCTTTCTCTGCTGAAAAGCTACCATTTTCCCTTTGAAACTAGTAAGTTACCTGTGAGAACAAGATTTGAAATGCTGTAAATATGTTTATGCTTGGCAGTAGCGCCCCTTGAGTCTTCTTACCTAAATCAATTACTATGATGATGTTAAAATGGGTTCAGTTTTTGTTTTTTGTTATTTTAACATTATCTGGTAATTTTTAGATTAGGTTAATAAGAGAATCAATGTTTTTATATTTTGTTTTATCTGGAGTCCTGGTGTGGCACTGTGGCTTAATGCGCTGGACTGCAAAGTCGCTTTGAACTGCAAGGTCGGCTGTTCAAGCTCACCAGCTGCTCCTCGGAAACCCTATACAGGGTCATTATGGATCGGAACTGACTCGACAGCACTTGACAACAACAACAACGTTTATATATTACTTTGTTGTTTGTTGTGTGCCGTCAAATCAATTCCGACCCATAGCTACCCTGTAAAGGATTTCCGAGGAGCAGCTGGTGAGCTTGAACCGCCGACCTCGCAGTTCAAAGGTTTTACAGTCTGGCGCATTAACCCACAACGCCACACCAGGATCCGTTTATAAACCTATTTATTTGACATTGTGATCTCTTCTTCTCTTTATTTTTCTGATCTGATCAAGTTGTTCTTTATACTTCGCTCTGTGTGTCAGTTGTGTTGTACCTACACGCCAAGCTAATGTTTATCTTCTTTGACCTGCTGTCATAACCAGACACACATGTTCCAATTCTTTCTTGCACACTATTTCACAATGTTAACACTCCATTTGTACTCCCTTTTGATAAAAACTTCATTATCTTCTCCTGTCTCCTCATCTTTTATATGTTTATACTTATCCTTGACATTTAGGGTTTTATGTTCTTGTTAAGTGCCATCGAGTCAGTTTTGACCCATAGCGACCCTGTTCAGGGTTTCCGAGGCTGTAAATCTTTATAGGAGCAGAAAGCCTCATATTTCTCCTATGGAGTGGCTGGTAGTTTTAAACTGCTGACCTTAAGGTTTGCAGCCCAATTCGTAACCACTACACCAGGATATGCCAATACCTGTGATCTTTACATCAATCCAGGCTGGAACACTATAAATTCTTTTAGTTAACAGACTAATGTCTTTTTTTTTTCTTCATCCAAAGAAATATTTATTCTCTTATTTGCTGAATTATAACCCCTTTGCCTTCACTGTTTTCTCTGTATGGCTTTTCCCTCCTTAGTACATTAGGTCTCTAAGTTACAGCCCACAGATTGCTCACTTCTGCTCTTGTGATTTCTTTCCTATTTGGTTTGTCCATTTTTGCTCTGATCTATCCTTTTTGTTTTGTTTTGAGCTGTTTCTTGCCTCTGATCGTCCACATTGGTAATTCAAGTCTCAAGTGACTATCAGACCCTCTAATTCTCCTCCAAATTTCTAGTTCAAATCATGATTTCTAGAACTCTAATTAGAAAGCAATTTTTGAATATGTGTGTGGCTCTATGGGTTAAGCACTGGACCACAAGGTTGATTTGAACCACAAGGTCAGCAGTTCAAACTCTCCAGCCACTCCTTGGAAACCCTATGCAGGGTCACTGTGAGTCTGAACCAATTCGATGACACTTAACAACAACAATGTATTTGTAACTCCAGCATCATTAATATTGGTATTATTTAAGCGATTTGTTTGTCTCTAACAGTTCTCATTCACTGGGCATTGTTGTGAAGCTCTGTCTCTGACTGCTAGTTCTCCCTTGTTGTTGTTGTTAAGTGCCATAGAGATTGAGTTGGTTCAGACTCCTAGTGCCCCTTTTTAGGGTTTCTGAGGAGCAGTCGGTGGGTTTGAACCATCACCTTGTGGTTCAAATCAACCTTGCAGTCCAGTGTTTATCCTGTAGTGCCACACCAGGACTCCAGTCTGTCCTATGTGAGTAGAAATTTTCTTTGTTGACTGGAGTCCTGATGTGGCACTGCAAGGTCAGTTTGAGGCTCAAGGTTGGCAGTTCAAACCCACCAACTACTCCACGGAAACCCTATATAGGGTCCCTATGAGTTGGAATGGACTCAAAGACACTTAACAACAACAATTGGAGTATTGGAGTCCTGGTGTGGCACTGTGGGAGAAAGCACTGGACCACAAAGTCGGTTTGAACCACAAGGTTGGCAGCTGAAACTCACCAGTTGCTCCTTGGAAACCCTGCACAGGGTTGCTCTGAGTGGGAACCAAATCTAAAGCACTTAACAATAACTGGAGTATTATATGGAGGAACTCCTAAAGGTAGGAGGGGTAACGTGGCCTCTAGCTATGGACTGTGCTGTAGAAACCCTCAAACTGCCATTCCTTTGCACGAACAAGTAGAAAAATCCCAGAGCACTAGGCTTTGAGGACAGGGAATTCAGCTATCCCACTCTGTGTCATTTTGGCATTTCTGGAGTCAGTGAAAATCAACCTCAACCTTTCTCTTGGACATCTCAAGTCTGTACCAGCTCTTCCAAGGGTCTGTGATCTTTCTCCAGGTTCTTGTCTCCTGAGCTCAGATTTTTCCTACAGGCACACATCTAGAACTTTGTGGAGAAAATACCATAGCATTTTCTCCTATCATTTACTGAGGACTATAGAAGGAGCTCTGGTAGCGTAGTGGTTACGAATCGGGCTGCAAACCTTAAGGTCAGCGGTTCCAAACTACCAGCCGCTCCGCAGGAGAAAGATGAGGCTTTCTACTCCCGTAAAGATTTACACCCTTGGAAACCCTGTACAAGGTCGCTATGGGTCGGAACCGACTCGATGGCACTTAACAACAACAACAACAATACAGGGCAGAGGAACATGTTGGCAGTCACTTGCATGGAGAAAGTTCCCCACCATGTCATGTGGGTTCACAAACTGTGAGCAATTGTCTCTGCAGGGATAACCAATCTGACAAAGACCGTGGATTCTGCTGCCTTGAACAGAGCTTATTATGTTCCTGGAACCGATTGCTGTTGAGTCTCACCAACACAACTCCAAGTAGATGTGTGCCCCACAGGGCTTTCAATGGCAACGACCTTACAGAAGTCGATTCCCAGGCCTTCCTTCTGAGGTGTCTCTGGGTGGGTTCCAAGTACCTGTCTTTTAGTTAATAGCCAAATGCTTAACTATCCTCACCACTTAGAGACTCCATAATGTGTATAGCAGGGGCCATGATCTACAATGCTTTTAAGTTCAGTTCAGGCCCACGCATCAAGCCTCAGAAAGCAGGATGTCTTGAGTTGAGGGGAGAGGGTGGGAATAAAGGTTAAAAGTAAACAGATGTATAAATTAATCTTGAAAGCTCTGTCCTTCAATTTTTTAGGTTTTAGAACCCTCTACAAAGGAGTTCTGGTAGCATAGTGGTTATGAATGAGGCTGCTAATCTCACGGTCAGCAGTTCGAAACTATCAGCTGTTCCGTGGGAGAAAGATGAGGCTTTCTGCTCCCGTAAAGATTTACAGCTTTGGAAACCCTGTAAAGGGTTGCTATGAGTTGGAACCGACTCCACAGCACATAGCAACAACAACACAAGAGGTCAGAGAGATGTGTACTGAACCTGCTGAGTCCTGCTTCCAGAACAAGAAATATAAAAACTTCATTTATAGACCAGTACCATTCCATGCTGCCCTCTTGTGGCCATTGCTCAGGATAAACATGAGCCAAAGAAAAATGGAATCACAAGTTTAGGAAGACGTAGTCCTGGTGAGGCAGTGAATAAAGTGCTTGACTGCTAACAGAACGGTTGGCAATTTGAGCTCACTAGTCACTTCGGTAGCGTAGTGGTTGCGAATCGGGCTGCGAACCGGAAGGTCAGCAGTTCGAAACTACCAGCTGCTCCGAGGGAGAAAGATGAGGCGATCTGCTCCCGTAAAGATTTACAGCCTCGGAAACCCTATTCAGGGTCGCTATGGGTCGGAACCGACTCGACGGCACTTAACAACAACAACTCACTTTGGAGTCCTGGTGTGGCGCTGTGGGTTAATGCGCCAGACGGCAAAGCCGTTTGAACTGCAAAGTCGGCGGTTCAAGCTCACAAGCTACTCCTTGGAAACTCTGTACAGGGTCGCTATGGGTCGGAATCAACTCGACGGCACTTGACAACAACAACAACAGTCACTTTGTGGCAGAAAAATGTGGCAGTTTGCTTCCTGAAAAATCACAACCTGGAAATCCCAGGAGACAGTTCTAGTTTGTTCTGTAGTGTGTCAGAATCAACTGTGTGTCAGAATCAGTCCTGTGTGTCAGAATCAACTCTACATAAATGGGTTTGGACTTGAAGTTTAGGAAGAAAATGTTGCAGATTTTGCCAGATAACATTTACACATCAGAGGAGGCAAGATGGTGGACGAGGCAGAAATGCTACACAGACCTTCTACAACAAAGATCATGGACAGCCAGATGAAACAGATGCAGATGAGAGTCCTAGAATGCTGACCTTCAGATGAAGGGTTAGAGAAGTAGACTGAATGCTTACTAAGATAGGAAGCTTTATGCAGCAAAAAAAAAAAAAAGGAGACAGGCTGGTGACCCGAGCTGACCTACCAGATGCGGCATAGCCAGCCATCTTAAGTCTTTGTGAGTGGCTTCAGAGACAAGACAGCATCCTGACATTACAGAAACATACTGGCAAATCGCAGAGATAAATTTATTATTAAGGCAACAAAGTTCTGGTGATTCCCAACTAGAAAATGCTGTGATAATTAACTGCCTCACAGGAGGAGACATACACTCTGAAGTCGCAAGTTCCTGCTCATCCACTTTCATGTCAGTCGCAGCTCTGACAACTCTATGTCAAATTATTTGGGTATTCTGAGTCTTCAGAGAAGTATAAGGCACAAATGGTAATGTATAAAAACAGCATGATACAAAGACATATGCTCATTATAAAAAACAGAATTTGAGAAAACCATTTTTCAAAGGTATGTAACCAGTCATTGTTGTTGGTGTTAAGTGCATTTGAGTCAGCCTAACTCATAGTGCTCTTGTATAGGGCTTCCTAGGAGTGGCTGGTGAATTTGAATCACCGACATTGAATTTCAAACTGACCTTGTAGTCCAGTGCATTATCCCACAGTGCCGCACAACTTGGTGGTGGTGGTTTTGTGCCTTGGAGTCGGTTCTGACTCATAGTGACCCTGTACAGGGTTTCCGAGGCTGTAAATCTTTATGGAAGCAGAAAGCCTCATCTCTCTCCCACGGAACAACTGGTAGTTTCGAACTGCTGAACTTAAGGTTAGCAGTCCTATACGTAACCACTACATCACATCACTTAGTTCTCAGCAATTTTAAACTACTAATTGCCCTTAGTAAATCAGCAGGCGATGTTTTGATGTCCTTTAGTGTACAAGAGATGTAGAAGTGAGTTGGGGGACACGAAAGTAGATACTGGATTGGGAAGGATCATGAATGGTCCCAATTAATACCTCTAGATCCAGACTATGATGCCAGATTGGTGTGCTCAGCTTTAGAAATACATGAACCAGCAAGGAAAATTCTTTCCTCTCTAAGCCTCTTGACATAAACTTTCAGGGTAATTCCAGCCTTGCTGAATATACAGTAATAATAAGTAGACTGAAAGAAATAGTTGGGTCTAATCATACAATTGCTTTGACTTAGATTTTGAGTTATTTGAATACTATTTTTCATTACTCAGTACACACTGCAGATGTTAAATTTCTTGGTCTAGAGTTGTTACCTGTAATCCTTCTTCATCTTTTCAGATGTGACCTTTTCTTCCAGCTCAGGGTAGTCTTGAGATGGTTCCTCAGCCTGAGTTTCTGATTCAGTTTCCTCAAAGGGAGCCTGTTGATTTTCTTGCGAGATAACTAGAATGGAACTTAAGCCACTGGTCATAAATGCAACAAAATCTTCAAATTCAGGCTACAAATTAAAATGAGAGACTGTTTAATTCAAGTTCTTCAACTGGCTGAACCAAATGGCAGTACTACCCAAGTCAAATGAAATGTATCCTTTCATAATACTTCTGTTACAAACTTCTTTTTAATAAATACATTTTTGAAGAATAGATGTTCACTGATCGCAGGATTGATTGTAATTATAGTCTGATCACGTGGTTCTCAAACTTTAGTGTCCATTCTAATCATCTACAGTGTGTATTAAAAGATTACTAAAGCCCAATCCCAGAGTTTCTGAAGATGTTTGGGATGGAGCTCAGGAATTGGATTTCCTTAGAAAAAAATTCCAGGTAATGATGACACAACTCACCAATCTTTTCCTTTTTCATGCGTTGAAGCTGGGGTATAGAGCAGGGCTTTGAACAGGTTCTTTCCAGTTTGACTCCCTGTTGAAAATTGACATTTCTACCCCAGATAGAAGTTCTGGTAGCATAGTGGTTACGAATTGGGCTGCGAACCGCAAGGTCAGCAGTTCGAAACTACCAGCTGTTCTGTGGGAGAAAGATGAGGCTTTCTGCTCCCGT